CAAAAGAAGAGGTTATCAGTCTTTTGCTTACCGTTCTGGTAAGTCGATGTTTTGCATCCTCTCTCTTTCATTGGATTACGTAACGCCAAAAGGTTCCATTGTGTATGATTGTCATTGTTCGGGATAAAGTGATGTTTATTATAATTATTACTACCGTTGTAGGCATACATTGATTTTCTTTTTAAAAATGAACTCTATACAAGTATGTTAAAATGGTTTCTGTAGATATAACTAATAATGTCTTTTGTATGTAAACAGATCATGAGAAACTAACGAAATCAACCATGATGGTACCATTGATATAAGCATAAAACGCAGGCACTGTCGTGGTAGAGTATAACTCCATTATACATAAGGTTTATTCTGATAACATCACACAGTGTTGTTGTACAGTAATATTAATTGATGACGTTCCCAGCACAATTTATCGCTGCTCATAACCATATCAAGTAACCTTCTTGCTTTATGTATATTTTTTTAATAATTTTCCTGCACTTTCCCAGTGGAACACAGGGCTCCAAGCTGGAAGTTTGGAGTTTCTGTAGCAGTGTTAATTTTTACAGGATGGGGTTGTAGCCTCATGCCCAACCTTTCCTCTTCACCAGTCTCAATACTGGCTTAGTGAGTAAAGGAATGCGCCGGCCGGGGATCGAACCCCGGACCATGTGCATGGTCGCGAACGTCCTAACCGCTGTGCCACCGACACACGCTTTATATATACATATATACTGCATATCACAACCACACAATAGGGTGGGTAGGACAGAGTTACAATTGTTAAAATTAATCTATCTAGGTGGAGAGAGAATTCATTACTGATTCCTGCCTGGTTCATCGAGTCTACACCCAACACAACACATGCAAAAGAAGTGACTCAACGCAAATACCAGTGATATGGAAGATATTATTCCCATCAGTCAAATCACAGGATAATAAATAAAATGCATTGAATTCACACATCATCGGTGGCATAGTGGTTAAGACTCTCGCCGACCATGCACATGGTCCAAAGTTTTGAACCCCCTGTCGACGCACACCTCATATCTATGGTCGGCATGAAAAATTTGGGCTACCGATATCCATGCTGAAAATTCAATACTTCTACCAAATATACAGTGTGGAATCGAGCTGTAATCAAAAAATCAAGATTAAAAGTTGTGTGTGAGTAGTGCCTTGATATGATTATACGTGGCAATAAATTGTGCTCGAACTGTGTGGTCATCAGTAAATATTAACGTATAACAACACTGTATGGTTTATCAAAATAAAATCTTTTCCATAATGATGGTAGCATTCTATTCTGCAAAAATCGCTGTTGTTCTTGCTTTATCCGGAAACAATAACAGAATCGGAAAAAAAACTCTGGAAATGGGAAAAAAAGCGAAAGAGATGGTGAAAATCAGATTGCTGCAGACCCATTCTGTCCCTCTACTCCACCCTCTCTGCCCCGATTAATTAGATCATACACTGATAATCAAATAATACTCAATGAAAAGGGTTTCGTAGCAGATTACCCAAGTGATTTTCCCTCATTTCTCACGTCTTAACTGAAGTAAAAATTAAAGAAATAGAGGGGAAAAGAACGGAAGGCTAATATGGACACGCATTGGGGAAATAATCTCATAATTTATATGTAAATTATTATCACTTTAAATGTTCACACTTGGTTTAATGTGATTTCTGACCTTTTCATAATAATAATAATATTATTCAAGTGTTGGTTTGTAGGGATTCGGTTGATTGGTTACAAGATTTCATGATGAGCTGACATTAGTTAGAGAACCATTCGAAAACCAGGGAGTACAGGACAGTTATTTCCTCCTAATGCTTGGGAATCTTCATTAGTACGCACCCATAGGGGTTCGAACCCAGGTTTTCAAATGGTTCCCTAACTAATGTCAGCTCATGATGAAATCCGGTAACCAACCAATCAAATCCCTACAAACCAATACTTGAATATCAATGACATGATAACTGGCGACTGTCCCTATTCAGATAGGTAGTTACCCGAGGTTTGTGGTGGGAAGTCTTCACCAGTGGAGTGCAGAAAGTTGGGTGTGAGGACAAATCCCTGCCAAAGATACTATCTAACAGTCGCGCTATGTCGTGAGTTGGCAGAAGTTAGAATTCATCGGGTGGCCATTTGATCGAGTCCCACTGGTTTAATGGTCTACGAACCTGCTCGCTTTGTAACTGATGGTAAATGCGCACTGATGAAGAGTACCAAACTAGTCTGACGAAACAGCTGTCCAGTACTCCCTACTGGTTTTCCAATGGTTCCCTAACTAATGTCAGCTCATGATGAAATCTGGTAACCAAACAATAAAAAGCAATAGTAATACTATTCTTACAATGGAAAATCAAATATTGATCTTATGTGTAAGCTGGATTCAAAATAATCATCCTGTCGAGATCCATCTGTCAATCTACAGCTGACTAAAACTAATGTTGCACTGATTAACTGCAGCGTTGATGGTCCAACAGTATAATATTCACTATTCACTCTGCACATGCTCCAGGGTTCAAATCCTCACAGAAACACTCCTAAACAGAGAAGTAGTGTGATTATATTTCACAAAGAACTTACATTGCCAGTCAGATACTGGTAAAATTTGTCATGAAAAACGTATTGATTGAATAATTGGAAGTTAGAAAGGAGACAGAAGTCGGCATGTCTTAACAAGTGTGAGGTAATGACTAATCAATAAGCTGGTGTAGAATGGACAGGAACTAGTGGAAAGAAGATAAAGTGTTTTTTTTTAAAAAAAAATCTGTCTGAAAACGCAATGTTATTAGTAAACAGCAATAGAGTGTACGTCGGTGGCACAGTGGTTAGGACACTCGCCGACCATGCACATGGTCCGGGGTTCGAGCCCACGCCGGCGCACACCTGATATCTATGGTCGGCCGGCAAAATTTGGGCCACCGATATCCATGCTGAAAATTCCATACTTGTACCAAAAATACAGTGTGGAATCAAGCTGTAAATCAAAAATCTAAATAAAAAAATAAAATAAAAGTGAGGTAGAGAATAATGCCATTTAAATTAGAACTGAAATTGAGCAATTAAGTTGGATGACGTAACATAAATGACTAGAAAATGAGCATTGGTCAAGTCAATAACAGTGGTAGTGAGGTGTAGAAATTAAATCGGGTTGGTGTAGAGAATAGGAAAGTTGAAAATGTAAAATAATACTAATGAAGAGACAGAAGAGAAAAAAGATTAGGTAGAATTTACTTGTCGGATAATAAGATAGATTACGTCGATTGCAAGTGTAGTGATCGAACGAACTTCTTCTGTATGCAGAGTTCAGGACTTAGCAAGTGAATCGCCATTGTTTCTGCACTTTGGAGAAGTCTGATTCGTACACCTTTAGGAAGACTACTTCTTACTCTGTAGACGACTTTAGAGTTTGTTTGAGGTGTAGCTTGATGTCCAGATTCTATGAGATGTTCTAAGATGGAGCTGCTGGGACATCGCTTTTCTCCTTTGTAAAACCATGCATGTTGGTAAGTGTTCGGTGATACGTTTGGAAAGCGAACGCTGGGTACGGCTGACATACCTGGCTCCACGCAAGCAGGTGAATTGATAAATACACACTGATGTGGCCAGTAGTTGTAGCATATCCTTCACGTTCACATGAATCATAGGTGTTGTGGAGCACGTTAGTCGTAATTCAGCTGCGAAGAAAGTCTTCTTAAGTGAGCGCGACAGTCGATTTTTTAGTGCTTCCGCAGATATATCTCCATTGAATTGAAGGTTCATGTAGAGTAGTTTTTTCGGGACGCTAAGCATTGTCCAGTTCATCTTCTATAGCCTCCAGGGTGAAAATTCCTCGAATTCTGTAGCTCAGTGCCCAACTGTGAAAGTTAGTAACCTGCCCGTTCCTTGTTGACTTTCTGTAGATAGATCTTTTCAGTGTTCCATCCTGTTCTCGTCTTCTTAGTTGGAGTTGGACTCTTTCTTCAGTGTGAACTGAATCGCAAGGTGGCAGTTGTTAAACGACTTCAAGATTTTGTCCAGATTTTCTTCATTACTGACGATAATGAAAGTGTCATCGACATATCTCTCTTATAGATTTCGAAGGCATCGATCATTTTCTTCAGGCATGTGTTTTCGAGTTTTACCAGTAGGTGATATACTAAAAAGGCTAAAGAGAACCGCACAGAACAGGACAAAGTTGAGATGTGCAGTTGAAGACCAAAGAAAGAATAAAACGGTAATAAATCTATCCTAAAAAACGGCCCAAGTGGTCTAGTGGATAACGCTTTGGCGTTTGAAACTATGGGTACTGGGTTCGAGCCTCAGTGGGAACATCATCACTCACTGAGAAATGCAGGTACATCCAGCTGACGAGTCCCAGATAGGACGAAATGCGCATCCTGGATTCCACTGCTAGCCACCATCCACCAATTGTATACAAATCAAATCCCCAGACATCGTCGAAGCATCTGCACAAGAAGCCGACATGTCAACCTGAGACCGAGCACTTCGGTCCAATCAATCGACGGGAAAATCAAAAATTCAATTCAATGGCTCTTATTGATTTCCAATACCATTAGCCTGTAAAATCTAAATGACACAAGTATAACAAAGTTTCCATATCAGTCAACCTTAGGCTTTTTTACAAGAAAATTGGACATTTAGCATAAAAATCCATGCGTATAGGAAATCGCTTAGTTTTTCTTTATTTTATTTGATAAATTGTCAACTAACCAACGTACAAAAGAAAGATAATCATATTTATCATAAATATAATTTTGTTGATTGCTTCTGACAACAAATCCTATCTTATTAGGATAAAAACAATTTCATATAAAAGATTAATATGTATGTATATATATATAGACGACATGTCTGCTGATTGGTTCGTTAGCATATAAATGTCCTTTAATTCGATTGGTTGAAAAACCACGTTGTGTAATATTGGCAGTCAATTCTGATTGGCTATCACAACGTCTATCACGATTATATGTTTATGCATTTATTTAGTTTACTTGATGAACTGATCTCAACAGTCTATCACAATATAGTAGACGGATCATTTTTTTTTTGTAATTACATGGACTATACATGATCTGAATTTATTTTCTGCTCTCTAATCACTTTGATCAAATCTATTAAAAAAAAAGTAAATTATTGATAAACACTGAAATCAATTATAACAATAATAACCATAATAATAATTTGCCGTTTATGAACTTTGTCAGATCATGAAGGGGAATATATTTGAACTAGTTTCAAATTAAAGATAAAGTGACAAAGTTAGAGAAAGAGAACGGATCAAGAATAGACTACAGAAATCGTTTGATAATACGGAAAAAAAAACAGGCAAAGGTAAGCGGTTCATTCAATGAACATTTCAAAATTCATGCATTTATTCTGTGTATTTCACCCAATTGATTTTTATACATTTGGTTCGCTTGATAGAGAAAGAAAGACCAGATTTGCAGTATAAAATGATAGATATGATTCTATTTAACAGGTTCTCATCATCTGCACACCATTACCTGAAATTATTGTTATTATTATTATTATTGTTCCCTTAGGTTCCTAGTGGAACATAGGGCTTTAACTGCACGTCTCCACTTGCCACTTCTGTTTTCTGCTGTACTTTTCACCTATACACATGTTACTCCATACTGTTTCATCTCCTCTTCACACGATCTCCTCCATTTCACCTTTGGAAGTCGCACCTGGAGGAGATTGGTTGTTGATGACATACATCATGATGGCCACTCCCTTGGTGTGCTCGTGGTTGTCCTCTGGATGACGTGAATAGATTACTGTCTCTCCAGTTGATAGTCGGCACCTTCCATATCCGTTCAGTCTGCTATCACAGATTCCCAACACTTCTATTCCATATCTTCTCATTTCTGCGGCTATCTGGGCAGTCTTTCCAGCTTTGTACATCGTACGAACATTCCACGTCCCCATCCTTATTTGTGCTTTCATTGAAAGAAGGCACATCGGCTGACTGGCTTCCCGAAGGCTTTCACCAGCCTGCGTCATTTCACTTCCCCGAATCCAGGGAAAAATGAAGTTATTGTTTATATTTCTAGTAGTTTTAATATATTTATGCGTTCAAGTTTCTCTTGCAATTTGGTTATATAGACGATAATAACATACTTTAATGTTTAAGTGGTAGTAGGTCAAGTTTTCATCAACAATTTATAGGCTTTCAAAGTAGAAAAGAGGCAGGAGGAGTAAGACAGAAAACAGAAAAAATTAACAAACAATGTTAGCTTGAAGGTTCACATAGCAACTTAAAAAATCAAAAGCGGTTACAGTTTATAAGAGTGAGATTTGTTCAGTGAGTTAAGATCACTGAATTAGATGACTAATCAAAACTCAGTTACCAAAGGAGTAAGAAATTAATTACACAGTCTCTTTCTGCATACATAAGTGCGGTTTAAATCGTGTGACTGTGATCGCTTCTGCAAATCGTAGCAAGAAATGTGCTGTCTTTTTTCTGTTTAATATTTTCAAGGACTTAGAAATCTCTACAAGATGACCAGTATCAACAAGATGTCTGTTAACTACACTCTGAGAGTGTTTGCTTCCTTTTTCTGGGAATATGTTCGGAAAACCGGAAAAAAGCACTTTTTTCTATCCTGCCCATGTACTTGCTCCCGCAAGTGCACGCGAATTCGTAAACGCAGTTTGAGGTGACATCAGTAGGGTATTTATCTAGTTTTTATTGACTTATAGAAGAAGCTGTACTGTATAATGTTATGAGTTCAGCTGCTGGGAGGCTTCTTTACATTGCACCCTTCAGTCTTTTGTCAATTTTTTGTGACACTGCATCTCCTTTGAATGAGAGACTAATAAACACTTTCTTCTTTTCTACAGTTGGGTGTTTTTTTTCTTTTTCTCTGCTATACTTTTGTATAAATCCCTTTAAGTATCCATCTTCTCCCAGACATTTCTCATCGAAATCTAACTCTTCCTTCAAATTTTTCGATGAACATACCTTCCTGGCTCTGTTGTACAGTCAGTGTCTTTACTAATCTCCGCTTATAGCTTTATTGGGCAGAAGTTGTTGCAGTGAAGGTATTTTCCAGTCCAGATTTCTTTTCTGTGGGCATTTCAACCGTTCCATCGTTTGTCATTTTTACATTTAGGTTCCGAAAATTGAATTCGTTGTTGTGTATCATATTACATGGTGAATTTAGTGTTTGAGTGGATCTCATTAAGACGGCCAAATAATATGGATACCTGACTCATTCTATACTAACCTTATCTTAGGCTATGAATATTACTCATTATAAACCTAAACGATATGTTGACTTAAGATTTTCTGATCAACACGGATGGAAGCAATTTCATACGTTTACTTTCTTTTCAAAAAAATTTAAATAATGGATAAATAAATGTCTACTCAGAATAAAATGACGCCATCAGTTATTTAGATGGTTCCTTTTCAGCTGTTTACTACTTAGAAGAGAAAATTTCACATGCTTACAAGGTTCACACCAATTTTAGCCAATAGACAGACATAAATACTCATGAACATTGCTCAAAAGTTACATTTATATCTGTGACAGGCTGCGAAAAAATGCTCGCCAGCCATGCTTCACATTGTTCGGCATTCGTTGCCCGCCTGTCAACGCACTCCTTTACCCCGCTAAGCCAACAATAAGACTAGTAAAGAGAGAAGGTTGGTCATGAGGCTAGCAACCCCAACCCCTAAAAGAATAAAATTAACACCACTGTTACCGGAAATTCAGGTCGATAACTGTAAGACCTAAACAATATACAAACATGCAAAATTAAAGGTTATATATATATATTGAAAATTAAGTTGGCCAATTAAAGATAAGAGGTGCGAGTTTTATGATAAGATATTAATCAGTTGGGTAATAGTGTGGTGAGTTCATTTCAAGTCACAGGAACAAACTAAATTATTTTTAAGCAGAAACATGGCGGGGGGGGGTCGGAGGATTAAAGCAAAAGATTATGTAGTCGAATGAGAGGAAGAGATTGAACGCTGAACTACCACTGCAAGGAAAGACTGATAAGTGAATTTTGTTTCTTAACGCGAAATTTCTGGCAAAAGAACTATTTAAAACATTTGTTTCCTGGAGAAGTAGGCATTTTGGTACATGTTCAGAGAGTTTGACGTATTCCTTTATTTCTGTTCTCCCAATGTAAATGCTACCATGGATACATGTAAACTTGTATACACAATTAGAATAAACAAAGCAAGGGTGTCTGTAAAACTTCGATTGCAGCAACGAGTATGTTGTTTGGTGATTAGGAACTATATTAATATTATTGTTCTCTTGGGTTCCTAGTGGAATATAGGGCTTCAACTGCACGTCTCCACTTGCCACTTCTGTCTTCCTTCTGCTGTACTTTTCACCTCCATCCATGTTAGTTCATACTGTTTCACCGCCTCTTCACACAATCTCCTCCATGTCACCCTCGCACTGATTACCCACCTGCCGATTCCCTTCCGGCCTGGTTCCACTCGACCAATGGCCTGACCGCGCGCTATGTCACCCAGCGGCCCGCCTCCTCAGCGAGCGAGTGTCCATCTCCACTTTCTCCTGCATATTTGTTGGGTGGCAATTGGTTGGTTCTTGTTTTGCTTGTTTGTGTTCAGCCATAGTGATACTTGTTGGTGATTCTTTCTGGCGCCGCCATCTGATCTTCAGTATAGAGCGATAGTTGACAGTTGTTGATAAAGGTAACGTCTGCAATAGGCTGCTGGAAATATTCTTTGTGAACCGCCCGCCAAATTTCTGATCCGTATGTGTTTCTCGCCTGCCTTCCTGATTCTCGATTTGACATCCTCGTTCATTCCGACTGCCTGTAGTTGAGACAATTCTCCCTAGCTGAATAAGTGAATGAAGTAACCTATTTCAAATCCCTCCAGTTGTGATGGTGATTGACTCTGAATGTTGCTGCTGTTGTTGTTGTTGTTGGTTTATGTTGTTTTTGTTCACTATATGTATCAATAATACAAGTATAAAACGTAAGCACTGTGGTAGAGTATAACTCCATTGTGGATAAGGTTTTATTTTGATAAAGTCACACAGTGTTGTCATACAGTAATATTAACTGATGACCACACAATTTATTGCCATTCATAATGATATCAAGTCACTCAAATAAAGAAAATTTGTGTGACTGCCTTGATATGATTATCAGTGGCAATAAATTGTGCTCGAAACGTGTGGCCATCAGTTAATATTACTGTATGACAACACTGTGTGACTTTATCGAGATAAAATCTTATCTATAATGGAAAACGGGAACCAACTTGACTTTAGGGTACGTTATGACTGCAGAAGTGTTCAATCTTTTGTTGATTATTCCTGCAATATTGTTGCTTTGAGTCGAATTTATTATTATTATTATTATTATTATTATTGTATCCTTTAGTTCCTAGAGGAACATAGGGCTTCAGCTGAGCACCTCCACTGCCTTCGGTTTTCTGCCAACTTTTTCACCCTGCTCCAGGTCTGTCCACATGCTTTCATCTCCTCCTCGCATGACCTCCTCCAAGTCACCCATGGACTACCAACTCGCCGCCTCCCTTTCGGGTTCAACTCGAGGGCTTGTCTAGTGATGTCGCTCACTTGATGGTTTCCTCAGCGTATGGCCAATCCATCTCCATTTCTTTCTGCCTATTTGTTTCACAATCGGTTCCTTATTGGTTCGCTCCCAGAGATCCCTGTTGCTGATCTTTTCTGGCCGGCCATCTGATCTTGAGTGGTATTGAGCGAAGACAGCTGTTAATGAAGGTCTGTAGTTTGTTTGAGATGCTCTTTATGACGCACCAAGTCTCTGATCCGTAAAGTAGCACTGACTGACTTTACATTGGAGTTGAAAATCCGGATCTTATTTTTGATGCTGAGTGCTGTTGACCTCCACACAGATTTGAGAGTAATGAAAGCTTGTCTTGCTTTTCCGATTCTGGCTTTGATATCCTCGTCAGTTCCGCCTGTAGTTGAGACGATGCTTCCCAGGTAGGTAAAGGAGGTTGTTTCTTTCAGGTTCTTCCCACTTATGCTGATTGTTGTCTGTTGTTGTTGCTGCTGTTGATGTTGGCTAGGAATCTTCATCACCTCTGTTTTATTTATGTTCACTTGAAGTCCTATCTTTGATGCTTCTTCTGCCAACTTGTTGCTTTTCACTTGCACATCTTCCAGTTTACTAGACTATTACTCATATGACTAATCGTCAAGTCCTCATCTCTTGTCTTTAATTAGCCAACTCAGTTATCAATATAACTGATAGCTAATTTCATGTGTCAGTCAGTATATTGTTTAGATGTGTCGCCAATTTGCATAAGTTATATAAGAGTAACTTCTGAGCACTGTTCATTG